GAGAGGCAACAAATATTAAAAGAATTAGGCAGCACAAAATCCCTGAGGTGAAAGTGTACTTGCCTTGTGTGAGAAACAGCCACTTGATGATCAGTGTGGCAGAAAGGAAATAATGGAGCTGAAAGAGAGGCAGATAAAAAGGTAGTGAGCTCAAATAGGGTAAAACCTTGGAGTTTCACTGGGATGACTCTGATGTTGAAGAATTATGAACAGGAGAGTTCAATTAAAATGTTAGTATAGGGCTGCGGAGTGTAGCCAGTAGCAGAACAATTGCCTAACAAGTGGAGGCTGAGCATTTGATCCCAAATAATACAAAAAGAACTATAACAAAGTTAGTTTGATGACCACTGTAGGAGGCCTAGAGTGTTATAGCCACTTTGAGCCAGCCACCCCAGCAGATGCCTACTTCACCTCAGGCTAAGTTGCAGGGGTCCTGTCATTCATTTTAATTTAATGACTGAGACTCTACCAAACTTGGAACTCCACTAACCACTTGCTGAAGAGTGAGGACATTCAATTTAATTAATTACAAACATTGAGGACATGACATGTGCCACTAACCACATCACAGTCATTTTTATATTCTCTGTGGTGCCAGTGAGTACTTTCCCCAAGTTATCCCAAATAAACTTAGAATCAAATCAAAAGCAGGGCACTTACTGTATACATTGGTCTCCAAGACAAGACTCCTGGTGGTTGCCCCTTGCAATCAGACTATTGCCCTTAATCTTCTCCTACCATAGGTAGAAATCCTGGAATCACCTTGGACAGAGTCCTTGGCCTCCAGGAGCTTGAATCTTGCAGCAGAAACACACACACACACACACACACACACACACACACACACACACACACACCTCTATTATTTGATATGACAGAGGAACTTGTCAAGTGCGAGCACATACACAAAGGAAGAAACAAAGAATTTTGTATTTGGAGTTTAAAGGAGCAACCAAAAGTGACATCTGAGGCATAGAAAAGCATTCTAGGCAGAGAACTGCAAGAGAAAAGGTTTGTAGTAATAAAACAAACAGAAGCCAGGCAAATAATGAATGAGGAAAGTAGACCAAGCCAAGGTACAATGCAACAGACAGCCATCTAGCCTGTGCAAACAGGGAACACATGTTCTGTCACCAAGGTGGAGGCCCTGCCTGGTATCCTCTGCCTGTTAGCACACAGGAATGTTGAACAAATAAAATTACAGAACATTTGGTTTCTTTAGAGAAGCTGGGTGTTATTTTTGGCATCTAGAGCCAAATAAATTTAACTTTGATATTGAGCAAACGAATGTGCCCATAAGAAGGCTGAGGTATAGCTCAATGGTAGAGCAATTGTTTAGCATGTTCAAGGCCCTGGGTTTCATCCCCAGCAACACACACACACTCTACAGAGGCATTGAACCTGAAGGTGGCCAGTCAGCTACTAGTGTTACATCTCTGAGTAACCTAGGAGCCTGGCTGGAGAGTGGCTGTGAAGTCTTGAGAATCAGTCTGTCCTGAAGAAGCAAGCTTGCAGGCAAAGGAGTTGGAAATTTTCTTTATGACATTTGAGGAAGGGGATGTCACTTACAGAGCTTAAATTGGGGTGTGAAATGATCAGATTTGTGTATTGCAAAAGATCTGTTTCATGGAAGGTGGATCTTTATGGCCAACTTGAAAAGACATTGCAGTAAACAATGTCAGGGAGTTGAAATAGGACCCTGGAGGTGCTGGGGGTGTTAGAGCTAAGAGATGGCTTACAATACGTTAAGGGACTGCATGGCTAGACAGTGTGATGGAGGAACTAAGGGTGCTAAATACAGGAAAGAGAGTTGTCAAGACTAAGTACTTTTAGCACCCTTCTCCCACTATTTTTTGACAGACATGGGGGCAATAGGTAGGTGGGACCAAGTATGAGAGGAGAAAAGAGTATTCTAGCTCAGGTTTTTTAAATTTGTGACAATACTGTCATTTTGAGCAGTATAAGCCTTTGTCGTGTGGGCTGTTCCAGTGCTTTGGAGGATGTTTAACAGCACCCCTGGCCTCTACTGGCTAGATGCCAGGAGCATCTCTCCCCTGTTAGTCAACCTAAAATATCCCCAGACATTGCCAAATGTCCCCTGAGAAGCAAAATTGCCCCTGGTTGGGAGCCATTGTTCTAGTGTCAGAAAGAGGGAAATTCCCCTCTTGGTAACTTCCCCTTTTTCATTGCATTGCAGAGGTATGAGGATCTGCTTGGATTTTGCTTAATAAACAGTAGAGGGCCCTTTGTGAGATGTTCATGTAAGCCTCAATCTGTGCTAGTGTCCTCGTCCATTTGAACTCATGAGGATGTTTCTCACTGGCTAGGGGGAGAACTGACCATTCTTTTCTGTTGGACATTATTTTGTTCCTGCTTCTTTCCACTTGCAAAAAGGGGTAAGCCTAGTGAGCAAGAAAAAGGGAGCAAGACGGCCCAGAACCCCCACTGTGCGGGGGCCAAATCAGGTGAGGTGACCCGTAGTCTCACACTCAAGTCATCAGGGGGCTAAGGGTTAAAGATAAAACTTGATGTTGCCTCATCATGATTTTGATTACGCAAAGCCAGAGAGTTTTGTGTTTATTGCGGTTCCTGGAAAGCCTTCCATTTATCTTCATTTTCCCTGCATACCAGAACAGTGGCTTGATTCAATCCTCCATGCCCCTCAAATAATAGTACACAGGGATTACAAATAATGGTTTCATGTTGAAGAAACAGCATCCCAAACCTTCTCCAACCCCTTCAGAAAAATTTAAAAATTGTTGGATATTTAGGTTGGAAACAAAGGAGACTAACTCTGCAATCTTACTGACAACAGGCCAGAATTCCCTTGGTGAAAGGAAATTAGGTCCCCTCATGCCCCTCACAGTCCTTTGTTTTTTCCTCACAGTGCTCAAATTCTGCAACCCTTTTCTGGAGGTTAATGACAAGTCACAATCCTTGTTTTCCTAATCATGTGCTACCATTACTGTTCATTTTACTAAGTACTTGCTGTCTGTGCCAGCCAGTGCTCACGATGGCACTCAGCCAGTCCCTAGCAGCTCTTTTTCCAACTGGAGACTCCTTAAAAGGCACATGGTATGATCATTTTGGAAATGTTATTATAAACTTATTGTATAATGTTTACAGCAAACCTCAACAAGTGCATATGTCTGTGGAGATGGGCGGGGAGGGAGGCTTTGGGTTTGAGAGCCACTGATCTATTTACAGAGCAAATGAAAAATAATAGTAATACCTCTCATTTCTATCACTGATAGTTTCCAAAGTGTTTTTACAAATCTTATATATATATATATATATATATATATATATATATATGAATTTATGCTGAACTTTCAACTACCAAGATCAACATCCTAAGATTCAGTGCTGGTAGGCCGTCTTCCTAGACTAGAAGCCTTCCTGCCCATAAGGACCCTCTTTGCACCCCATAATTTTATGTTCTTGCCCTTATGATAGCCCCTCAAATTGTTCATAGTTCTTTGTTAGCAAGTATGCTTTGCTTTGCTCTTTTGTTTCTTTTCCTTTTTGTTTTGTGTAACGCAGGGCTTTGCACAAACTAAGCACATGCTTTACCACTGAGCAACACTCTCAGAAAGGTCTACTTTTAATGATTGTCATTCATAATTCCTTGAAGGTTTTCATAAATGTTTATTAAAACTCAGGATCTTTATCCTCGGAGTGGTGCCTTTGTTTTGGGAAGGTCAGTGGTGGCAAACCTATGGTACATATGCAACCGTCGGGCTGTCTGTTTCATTGAAAGCTCTAAACAGTTTGCTATCACTGGGCTAGGTCAAACATCCTGATGCCTTTTGGGTGAGTCTGAGATTTGGTATATTACCAATTTTGTATTATACATTTTTTCAACTGCTTTCAGGTATATTAATTGGTGGTTAGATTTGATCAAAATGCGCTGCTATTCATGGGTCTCATCATCCATTCAGATGTAAGTCTTTTCTAGAGAAAGAGTGATGGAGTAATGTTTCCTTCAATGATGTCTGTGCCCTAATTCTCAGCACTTGTGGATGTGCTACCTTACCCAAACAAAATGACCGTACATGTGATCAAATCCAAGCATCTGAGATGGGGTGATTATTATGGATTATGTGGGAAGGCCAAGTGTAAGCATAAGCATCTTTATAAAGAAAACTGGAATCAGGAAGAGCAGAGCCAAAGAGATAGGACAAGGGAAACAAGTATTGTAGAGTGGTACAGCAACACACCAAAGAATGCAGGTGGTCTCTAGAAACAAGAGAATTCAGGAAACAAGTTCTCTCCTAGAATATCCAGGAGGGATGCAGCTCTGCCCTCACCTTGATTTTAGTTATGTGAAACTTCCAACCTCTGGAACAGTGGTATCACTGTATTTTACATCACTAAACTTGTGGTAATTTGCTACAGCAGTAGTAGGAAACTCATAAGGGTTCTCATTTTCCCTCTCCTCAACCTCACTAGCTCTCACAGGCTCCCAGTTTCATGTATTCAGTGTGTAGTCTTCCCACTCATTCTATCTTTCAATATATGTTCTGAAAAATATATAGGAAGTTGGTTATGTGATTTTAAAATTTCAAGTACATAGTGCAGTATTGTCCCTCATAGTGGGAATGTTGCTTTTACATCCGACTCAATATGCTTATCAGCTTTCACACATACCAGTCGCCCTTTTCACAAATCATAGTGTCACCAAGCCCCATGGGAGTTTCCAGTCCACCCAGTGAAGTAGGGCTGGTATTACTAACCCTGGAGTCTGAATTTAGGAAACAAAGTCTCAAGAGGCCAAAGGCTGGCAGCCAGGTTTCCAGGCTCCCAAACACAGGTTCTTTCCCTAGGATCCTGCCCTACAGTTCAACGGGGCACAACCCCTGCCATGTGCAAGGCCTCTCGAGTGTGCACCTTAGCAGCGACAAGGGCGGGCGCTGACTCCACCGCGCAGAGGGCGGGGGCCGGCAGGCGCTCGAGCTGGCCTGGACGTGGTCAAGGAAGTCACGGGTGGGTCCGAGACGGAGGGCCTCGGGAGTGCAGGCGGCGAGGCCAAGTGTGGGCGCCTGGGAGCGGAGCCCCCGGGGGCGCCCGAGCTCCGCGGCTCAGGTTACCTGCGGCGGTGGGCGGGGCGGGCTTCCCGTCTGCGCCGGCCCCTAGCCTCCCGGGCAGCAGAGCCGGGAAGTGGGACAGGGAGCGAAGTAGGCGGAGACTGCCCAGGCTCCAGCCCGGCCGGGCTCCGTGGCGAGGGGCTGTATGGAGCTGCCGGCGCGGGTCTGTGGGCTGTGGGCGCTGCTGCTGGGCGCCGGCGTCGGCGCCGCGCCCCCAGGTGAGTGAGCTCGGAGCCGGGCGATGGCCAAAGGGCTGGGGTCGCGGCGAAAGGCCAGCGAGAGAGGACACCGCGGGGCCAAGGGGCACAAAGAGGGTGGGCGTTGCGGGCTGTCCTCGCCACCCTCTACGCTCGGCCACCAGAGCCTTTAGGGCTGGGTCTCTGAGCCTGGCGCTCGCGCCCTACTCAAGAGAGGGGACCCAGGAGTGGCGGGGTTTTCCCGGGCGCGACGAGGGTGGTGGAGTGGGAGGAAGAAGGCATAGTGTCCCACTTCCCTTGCACGGTCGGGAAGAGCCTAGAAGCTGGGGCCCGAGAGCGGACCGAAATAGGCCGATGGCTTTGACTGTGAACCCAAGAGACGAGGGACTAGCTGGGCTGGCGACCCAGGGTTGAGAGAACCCAAAACTTCCCGGGCACTTTGCCCAGAGCCCTGCTGCTCAACACTGTCCAAGTGTAATTCTTGGTGTGGGCATGAAGGGAAGCTCTGGAAGATCTAAGTCTCTATATTAAAAGGACTTGAGGACCACGGCCTTCTCTAGTGTACACCAAATCCATTAGGAAACACGGAGCAGCATCCGGGCAGATGTCCCTCTTTAGTAAACTTTATATTTTGGAATAATCATAGAGGTATAGAAAGGTTGCAAAGATTAATCAGAAAGTTCCTCTATCCCCTTCACCCTTACGTGGCCGCTTTTAATTAATCAACCCTACAGGATTGCTGCAAAAATTGAGGGTGAATGATTTCCTCACGGGTTGTTCTTGGCATGGGTGACCCATTAAACATTTTGGGTAACAATGGTATCTCCAAATTTTATAGGTTTTATTATCACATTGAAACGGACACCAACAAGTTGCTTATTGCATTTTTATCAGTATGTTTTAAAACCAGAGTTGAACTGTTAATTAGGAAATCTTAATGTCATCTGTTGATTTAGTCAACAAAATATATGTCATTTGTTCTGTGCCAGGCAGGATTCTAGGGGCTAAGAATGCTACAGTGAGCAAACAGACTAAGTCCCCTTACTGTGGAGCTAATATGCTCCTGGCAGAGTCAGAGACAGGGGAAAAATACTAAGATGTGAGACGGAGACGGTACCGAGTTCTACAGAGAGAAACCGATGGAACAAGTTTGCCATTATAAATGGGATGGAATGGAAATACTTCACTGAGTGTTGCTGTTGTTTTTTTTTTTTTTAGTCTGGGGATGGAATCCAGGGCCTCAAACATGCTAGGCAAATGATCTTCCACTGAGTTACACCCCCAGCCTTCAAGTGTCTGCGTTGAACCAGGCTCTGAAGGTTGCTTTAGGAATATGCTATATATTTAGGTCTCCAAAGTCCCTCTATTGAATTAGGGACACCTGATTTCCATAAGCATATAGGGAAACTGCAGTCCAGAGAAGGGAAGGGAGTTGTCTAAGGTCACCCACCTCATTAGTCTCCTGATATTCACAGTGTGACTCCCACACTCCCCTCCTACAGATTCCCTCTCTTACACACCTGAATCAACAGCAGGCCTTCTAGGCGATCCTGGCAGTCCCCACTTAGTTTTGTCACAATGGCTTGATGATAACTTGGTTACTTAGGATATAGAAACTTTCTTTCCATTATATATTTTGATAGAATAGCACTGAAGTATGATAGGAAGGAATTTAATAACTCCAGTCACCAGTCTTGGGTTTTAGTGGTTTCGATATTTACCAGCTGTGAGCTCCTGGGTTAGTCATCTCCCTCCCTTATACTACAATTTTCTCATCAGTGAAATTAGCTTGAAATCCCTAAATTCTAATCCGGCTATGACCCTCTGAGTGTTTGAAAATGATTAGGTTACCGGCTTTGTTTATAGTCTGTTTGCTCAATAGTCCACATTGTGACATTTCTTAATAACAGCTAACATTTATATAGTGTTTACTTTATGCCAGCAGTTTTCTAAAGGCTTCACTTCTATTTTATTTAATCTTTTCTGTTGTTTGGGTTAGGTTTTTGGATTGAAACAGCATCTTAGTATATAGACTAGGCTGGCTTGAATTTGCAGTATAGTCCAGGGTGGCCTTGAACTTTTCATCCTCTTGCCTTAGCCTGCCAAGTGCTGGGATTACAGGAGTGTGCCACATCCTGCTCTTTCATTTAATCTTACAAACAGCATAAACCAGTGGTGGCAAACCTATGACAGGCATACTGCAGCGGGCTGTCTCTATCATTGAAAGCTCTAGAAGGTTTGCCATCACTGGCCTAAGCTGCAGGTGCTGTCATTGGTTACATTTTGGATAGGAGAAAGCTGAGGCACTGTGAGGCTAAGATCCTGGCTTGGATAAAGTGGGAGAGCAAGGCTTCCAACTTCAGCAGCTTGATTTCAGAGGCCATGCCTTTAACCAAAGTGAAGGAAGTCCTTGGTGACAGAGCAGTTGGGTGGCTCCCAGGATAGCAGGGCAGGACTGGTTGGAACCCATGAAAGTGTATGCACTCTATTTGTTAAACAAATGATCGCATATTGGAGACTGGCTTTATAATGGCCGGACTGTATAGTCCAAACAGTAAATACTACAGGTGTTCAGGAGAGAGGGAACCCAGGATAGGTTGTTTCACAAAAGAGGTATGACTTGAGCTTGACCTTCAAGACGGGTGGAATTTGAGTAGGTAGAGAAGTTATTCCTAGTAGGGGGAGGACAGCAGGAGCAGAGACCCAGATGTAAGGGTGAGAGTGCTCCTTTGTGGTCAGTAAGGAGCTTGACTTGGCAGAAAAGCCTTGTTTACCCTTGAAGGCCCCCAGCAGGCTGTAGCTGAAGGGAAATGATGCTGGAGGAGAAGCAAGCTGGAGGACCTGACTGGGAAGAAGAACCATTGGTGGGCAAAGCACCACAAGAATTGGAGCTGCAGGTCTCCAGCATCATGATGTGCTTTCTATGCCTCCTGTCCAGGTTCATGTCTTAGTGGCATCTGCCCTCCTTGTGGGGCTCCACACTGCACATCAGTGAGAGGGAGGTGATTAGAAAAGACGTTGCAAAACTGCAGAGACAGGAGTTGATGACTGAGTGAATGTGGGGAAAGGAGATGGATGACTCATATATGACTCTGAGTATTTTCTCAACTTTTCCCGAAATGTGTATGCCTCTGCCAGCTCCTGTGAATATAAGAGAGAACAAAAGCTACAAGCTAGCAGATGCCTTGTACGTCTTCCATATAACTATCAACATTCACAATTCCTCTCTTGAACACCCATAGTATGTTTGGACTACACAGTCTGGCCAAAAATAGTGATTGTATTACTCCTCATTCGTGTAGGATGCAGTGCTAGATGGCTACGCAAGCTCATTTAGTCATTTAGGGTTTGCAGTTTAGCTAGGGGAGACCCATGGGTCCCTTCCTCCTTCTTACTTCCCTTTCTGAAATCAGTGATAAGCCCTTAAGAAATTCTTGAAAACAAATGCCTGAGGGAGGCAGAGGGATACTTGTCTATCTCAAAGGCAAGGGGTGCGTAACAGTTTCATAGAAAACCAAAGCAACAGCAACAGTTTACAACCGTTTTGTTTCAGAAAAAGAAAACAATTGACACACAGCGTTTGCTCTGTGCACACACTGTTCTAAGCACTTTGCCTTTATTAATTCGTTTAATGCTCGTAATAACCTTTTGCAACAGGTTACTTATCCTCATATTATAGGTGAGAAAACTAAGGAATAGAGTGGTTAAATAACTTGCTAGCTAGTAAATAACACAGCTGAGATATAAACTCATACTCTGGCTCCAGTCTGTTCTAAATACTGCACTATCCTGAAATTAAACATGAAGGGCTGTTAGAGACATTTACAGGAAGTATAGTCACCACTTGTTTACATGTATTTCTGTGCATACACACAATTCACAACTCTTCATATATATTTAAACATATGGAGATTATATTTTAAGGGGTTTTTTTTGTACCAGGTATCAAACTCACGACCTTGTGCTTGCTAGGCAGGCATTGTGCTGTTGAGCTATATTCTCAGACTATATTTTAAGTTTTAGAGTATATATTTTTTACTTGTAGCAAAGTACAGACGGTTCTCAACTTAATTATGATCTTAATTACAATTTTTCAGCTTTACTACGGTGTCAAAAACAATACACATTAACAGAAACTATAGTTTAAATTTTGAATTTTGATCTTTTCAATAAATTATATGAACTAGTCAACATTTTGGCTGTGGAAGTTAATGTAAGTTTTTTATTGAGCATGTTCAAGCTATAACGTTCAGCAGGTTGGGTATCGTACACATACTTCTTTTTTCTTTTTCTTTTTAAAGGTTGGAGTCCCAGTATGTTGCCAAGGCTGGCATTAAACTCCTGGGCTCAAGTGATCCTCCTGCCCCAATCTTTTGAGTTAGCTGGCACTGTAGGTGTGAACCAACATGCCCACCTAAAAATATAGTTTTGACTTTAAAATTTTTCAAATTATGATGAATTTATTGAGACATAACCCCATTGTTAATTGAGGAATAGCTAACAACACAAAATTTATCAATCCAAATATTTATAAGTATACAGTTCAGTGCTGCATTTATAATGTTTGCCAATCATCACCACCATCCATTTCCATAACTCTTTTCATCTCATCAAAACTGTGGGTCTATATTCATTAAATACTAATTTCTCATCCTCAATTCCCCTGTTAACTACCAGTTTACTTTCTGTTTCTGTAATTGGACTATTCTAAGTATTTCATATAAGTGGAATTATGCAGCATTTGTCTTTTTTACAATTGGCTTATTTCACTTAACGAAGGCAAACGCCCCCTAATTTATTCTGTTTTGTAGTATGTTAGAATTTCCTTTTTTGTTACAATACTGAAGAATATGCCATTGCGCATATATATATATATATATATATATATATATATATATATCCTTATCCTTTTATCTGCCACTGGACACTTGGGTTTGAGCACCTAGCTTATTTTATTTTTTGACAGTTGGTATCTCATAATTTTGATTGGCATTTTCCCTAAGTATTAGTGATATGAAGCATTTTCATGTACTTTCTGGCCATTTACATATCTTCATTGACAAAATGTTCATTGAAGTTCTATGTCTATTTTTGAGTTGGGCTGTTTCTTTGTTGTTGAGTTTTAAGAGCTCTCTATATATCCTAGATGTTAATACCTTAGCAGATACATAATTGAAAAATGTTTTCTCCCATTTTATAGTTGCCTTTTTACTATGTTGACATTGTCACTTGATAAACAGATTTAATGTTTTTCACAAATTTCCTCTTGGCAATTTTTTCTTTTGTTGACTGTGCCTTTAGTGTCATATTAAGAGATCAATGCTGAATCCATTGATATGAAGTTTTGTCTTATGTTTCTAGAGTTTTAGACCTTACATTTACGTTTTTGTTCCACTGTGAGTTCACTTTTGTACTTGATGTTAGGTGAATATCCACCTTCCTTCTTTTTTTTTTTTGCCCCACCTTCCTTCTTTTACATATTGAGATACAGTTTTCCCAGAACCATTTGTTGAGAAGACCATACTTTCTCCATTGAAAGTCTTGGCATCTTAATCATCATTACCTCCTATATGTGATTATTTTTGTCGAAAGTTCTTTATTGTGTTGCAAGGATTTTTTTTTGCCTGTCTGCCTTCATGCTAATGCCACACTGCTTTGATTATTGTAGCTTTGTAGGAATTGTTGAAATTAGGAACTGTGAGTTCTCCAGATTTGTTCTTCCTTTTCAAAGTTGTTTTGTCTTTTCAGGATCTCTTGAGAGTCCATGTGCCTTTTAATATTGTTTTTTATATTTCTAAAAAAATGTCATTGGAAGCTTGATAAGGATTGCACTGAAACTGTACATAAATTTGCACAAAATTAACATCTTAACCACTTATTTGTCTGATTGAAATGACACCTGCCAGAGTGATGGTTAGAATAGTTAGTACAAAAACAAATGAACAGCCTAAGTAACATGCAAGGTAATCTATTAAGTGATTAATAATATTAAGTCTTCTTATACAGGAACATGAGCGATATTTCCATTTATTGATGTCTTTAATTTCTTTCATGAATATTTTTTAGTTTTCATTTTACATGTGTTTGACCTCGGTTAAATTAACTATTAAATATTTTATTCATTCTGATGTGATTGAAAATTGAATTGTTTTTGCAATTTCCTTTATGGAGTGATCAGAAATAGGACTGATTTTCATGTTGATTTTATATCCAGACACATTATAAAATTCATTTATTTTTTTCTAACAGTTTTTGTGGAACTTTTAAGCTTTTATACATAAAATCGTATCATCTTCAAACAAAAATAACTTTGCTACTTTTCCAACAAGATGCCTTTTATTTTTCCTTCTTGTCTAATTGCCATGGTTAGAAGTTCCAGTAATATGCTGAACAGAAAAACGGGTGTTTGTTAGGTAAATGGTGAGGGCCAGTAAAGAACACAATGAGCCTGAAATTGGAGGTTCTGGATGGGACCTCCTAGAATAACTCCAAAGGAAGTCTGAGCTATTTATTGAGCTGGATCTTTTATGGATAGAGTTGAGGAATTAGTGGGACAGGTTTAGCAGGGTAACACGAAGGGAGATCATGAGATTAGGGGAGCAAGAGTGGCTGAGTATGTGGCTGTGGCAGTGGGTGGGCATTGTGACCTAGCAGAACGAACATTGTTCCCCAGCATGGGTTGGGGTTGGAAGGGGTTGAGAGTGAAGGGACTACAGCATGTAGGAATGGTTTTTGGAGTTCAGGAACTCAGATGTGATAATGGGAGAGGAGGACAGACCTATCAAAGTCCTTGTCGTGTTCCTAATTTCAGACAGAAAGTTTTCTGTTATAGTTTAGATCTAAAATTTCCTTCCAGGTCTCCTGTGTGTAGAAGGTGATTGGATTATGGGGTTGCTATACTCATCAGTGGATTCATCTATTGATGAGTTTATAGCTGAATATGCTGTTAGGAGGCGGGGCATGGCTGAAGGTGGGTCACTGGGAGGATGACCTGGAAGAGTATACAGTATTATTGTCCCTGGCTCCTCTATTTCTCTATTTGCTTCCTGTTATGGATTGAAAAGCTTTGCTGTACCCAGGCCTTCCATCATGCCATTTCTGGCTTGGAGCCTGCCAGCCATGGACTGAACACACTGGAAATGGTGAGAAAAGCCTTTCCTCTTTTAAGTCATTCCAGTGACAGGAAAGTAACATACACTTTCAGTTTTTCAACATTGAGTGTAATGTTTTCCATGAGTAAAAATTTCATCTACAACTCTTATTATTTTAAAGTAGTTTCCTTATATTCCTAGTTTGTTGAGTATTTTTTGGTCATGAATGGTCACTGAATTTTTATTTTTAGTTTATTTTACAGTGCTGGAGGTCAAGCTCAGAATCTCTTTTATGCCACACATGTACCTTATCACTGAGCTACACACTCAGCCCCTGTTGTTGAATCTTGTCAAATGTTTCCTCTGCATCAGTTAAGATGGTTGCGTGGGTTTTCTACCTTCATTCTGTTTATGTGGTCTGTTACACTGATTAATTTTGCATGTCAAATTATCCTTCTAGGAATAAATATCACTTGATCATGGTGCATAATCCTTTTGCTATATTCCAAAATTTACCTTGCCAGTATTTTGTTGAGAATTTGTGTTTTGCTTCATAAAAGATATAGATCTATAGGGGTTTTTTGTAATTGTCTTTGTCTGACTTTGGCATCAAGCAGTGATGGTCTCATAGTTAGGAAGTGTTCTTTCTTCTTCATGTTTTTTTGAAATATTTGAGAAGTTATGCTATTCCTTGAATATATGATAGTATTTACTTATGATACCATCAGGTGCAAGGCTTTTTTTTTGTGGGGAGGTTTTGTTACTGATTCAATCCTTACTATGTATAGATATTCAGATTTTATACTTCTTTGTATTTAGTTTGTGTTTTAGAAGTTGGTTCATCTCATCTAGATTATCTGGACTGTTAATGTGCAGTTGATCATAGTACTTTCTTATAATTTGTATATATTATTGACTTTTGAAACTTGCATTGAGCTACATTCCCAGACATTTTCATTTTTATTTTTTTAAATTTTGAGGTAGGGTATTGTTAAGTCACTAAATTTTCCAGGCTAAGTTTAAGGCTACAGTCTTCTGCCTTAACCCTCCTTGATTACTGGGATTATAGGTATATGCCATTACACCCAGCTCCTTTATTTGTTATAATCAGTAGCAAATACTCATTTTATTTTATGACTTTAGTAATTTCCATCTTCTCTTTTTCCCTTAGTCCATCTGGCTAAGGGTTTGTCAGTTTTGTTGACCTTTTAAAAAGCCCTTTCATTTTCATTGAGTTTTCTATATTTATCTGCTCATTTTGTCTCTGTTCTAATCTTCATTTCCTTCCCTCTCATAACTTTGGATTTGATTTGATAGAATACTGCAACTGTACTACTTAAGCAATTGGTAATGATTTAATTTACTACTTTGGAAAATTTGGGAGATGATGATGATGATGATGATGATAATGATGATGATGATGATGATGACTGTACTGAGAATCAAACTCAGGACCTTGGGCTTGCAAAACAGCCACTGAGCTATATCCTTGGCCTGGGGGGATTTTTTAAGAAATGGATTCATTCAACTGTTTATTCACTATAATACTAGAGAGTGAACCCAGGGCCTTCAAACTGAGCTACATATCCTGTGCCGGTTTTTACTTTTTTATTTTTAGGGTTTTGCAAAGTCATTAAATTCATCACTATTGGCTCAAACTCACTAATCTTTTGCTTCAGCCTCTTGGATTGCTGGACATACAGGCATACATTGACTTACAGAAAAGTTACAAAGATAGAGCAGAGTGCCTTTATACTCCCACCCAGTTTCTGGAGTATGATGACTTTCATAGTCCTGGTCTTAGATGTTCTCAGGAACATGTAGTTTATCATCTTTGCCTTTCTTCTTGAGATTAACCAAAGCTCCAGCTCCAACTGCTTGCTGTCAGGCCTCAGGGGAACAACAAGGACTGCTAAATCTCTTTTGTGGTGCTTCTTTGGAGAAGCTCTATTTTAAAAATTACCAGATCATGTTAGCACAATTAAAGATGAATTTCTTGGCATCAGGTACCTACTGTTGTGCCATAAGGCTTCCCCCAAAATGAGTTTCTTAAACTCACTCACAGAATTACTGAGATTGCACTGTCTGTATTGAGATGTGGATTCGAAGGGTAGGGATCCCCAAATTCCTGGAGAATACCAAATAGGCTATGCTATATTTAATAATATGCACTATTCGATGTTCATAGCATAGTAAGGATAGTTGGCCCTCCTCGTCTATAGGTTTGTCATCCCAGAGTCCTGCATCTGGGAGCCAATCTACAGCAGATGAAAAATATTTGCAGAAACATGTACTGAACATGTGCAGATTCTCTTTTTCTAATACAGTATATACATTGTATTATATATTATAAATAATCCAGAGATGGTTTAAAGCGTCTGGGAGGCTATGTGTATGTTATGGGCAAGTGCTACACCATGGAAGGGACTTGAGTGTCCACAGAGTTTGGTATCCATAGTGTTCTGTAGTGATCACCCATGGATCCTAAGGGAAGACATAGCCAAAAATATGACTTTGAAGCCACATTTTCCAGGTTACAGTCCTAGCTCTGTCACTTACCAACTATGCGATATCGGAAAAGGAACTTAACATCCGTGTCTTAGTTACCTCATCTTTCACATAAGCTCATAGTACTTTCTAATTCAAAGGATGTAAGGAGAATTAAATGGATTAATATGTTTATTTGCAACAGTTCCTGCCTCAGTAAACTTTAGATATTGTTAATATAGCTATTATGTATTCCTAGAATGTGTGAGAATAGAATAACTGAACCATTAAAAATACTAGATATTATTGATAAATGTATTACTTGTGCTTGATTTGAACAGAAACTCAGCCACCAGTGACGAATTTGAGTGTCTCTGTTGAAAACCTTTGCACAGTAATATGGACATGGAATCCTCCTGAGGGAGCCAGCCCAAATTGTAGCCTAAGATATTTTAGTCATTTTGATGACCAGCAGGAGAAGGTAAGTTTTCATGGACATATTGTATGGATGGAGTAAAGTGAACAACAGTATAAATTGGAGCCAGGAATGAGCCAAGTTTAATCATACTTCAGATTGTAGATTTTATTTCGAGTTGTATTCACATTTCAGTTGGGAAAAAATTGTAGAAACAGCTATGGACAAAATGGATCATTTAACAATATTTTCTAATTATTTAATGATTAATATAATTGAGATTGCTCTAATAGGAAATACTAGATATCTTTAGCTATTAGACATTCAGGAAATAATTACTTTTGCTTTTGTTAACATTTGTTCCTGTGTTCTTTTCTGTAGCTATATCTTGTATCTATAGAATTTCCAATTTTATAGGGAATTTCCACATTTACCATCTTGCTGATCACATAGATACTTAAGCAATACTATGTGGTCCAAAAGTAAATGGCTATATGAAAAATGAAAAAGTCAGGAGTTGGTGGCAAGCGAGTTCCTGACACCTAAAGAAAAATAAAGGAAACTTTAAACTTTAAACTTTTCCAGGCAGATGTAATCAACTGATTTAAGTAAACTTTTGTTAACAAGATTGGCTAATTTGAGGTTCTCGATGATGTTATTTAACTGTCTCATATATTTTTAGCACATTTCAGTGTATGAGTGCATGGGGAGCGCTGGTGGAGGAGTGTTTGGGATTGATCCATGATTTTAAGGAGGCAGCTGAGGAGTTGTTACTGATAACAGTAGTTTGGATAAGTCAATTGTGAAATCACTTTCAAGCAGCTTTGGTGGCAGGAAAAATCAAAAGTAGGTTTCACTTAGTACACTGTTTTTAACTGGCTTAGTGGCTAGAGTAAGTGATGTTGCTTCTCTGAGCCCTAAGTGTATTCATGTGCAAAATGTGGGTCCCTCACTTCCCTGGCTTGCTGGCATAGAAAATAATGAATGTGAATAATGAATGTGAAAGTTTAGTCCTAAGGATAGAACTGGGATCTTCCTCTGGAAGGAAATTTGCTGCTCTGCTTTCCTCTCTTCTTCCCGCTTCAGAGTTAATTATGGCTTAAGTATTAAGTGATAAAAAATTGAAACTTATTTGAAGTATTTGAATTTTAAAGTAAGTCGTCTGGTAGGCTAGAAGCTTGTGATACTTTTGTCAGTGACACTGAACTTCCCCTTCACGTACTGTTGGAATCATTTTGTTCTTAAAGAAGGACCTGAGTCATTTGGTCTTACTGCTGACATTTGGTAGTTTAGCCTTGAAATATTTGTAAAAAATCTTGTAAGTCTCTTTGACTGTAAGCTGCATAGTCACTTAAGTATTGGGCAAGTCACTTAACCTCTCTTAGTCTTGATTTCCTTGTTTTGAAATTCTGTGTGTGGGGGGGGTGGTACCTACTACAGAGAACTGGTATGTGCATTAAAGGAGAAGAGGCTTGTCATGCATGTGACACAAGCTATTATCATGGGTTGAAATGCATCAGATTGGGAGTATTTTAGGACAAAATGATTGTAGAAGGTTCCTGTCAATACTACTGTTGTGATAAATACAGAACACTTCTTTCGATCCTGTCTGAACATTTTTAAATTTTCTATTTGGCCAGTAAAAATTAGTGACAAGAGTAATTTTACTCTCCTCTTACTGTCCTTTAGGTATAACACAGGCAGAATTTGGAGTGTGTATATAGCCCTGAAATCTATTGAAGCAGTAGTTATATACTTTAGGAAGCTTATGCAAGTAAGATAAGGTTTGAGTTGCTGAATTATCCAGGCTGGGCTTGAACTTTTAATCCTCCTGCCTCAGTCTCTCAGTCTGGGGTTATAGGCAATGTACACCATCCTTGGATATAGACGATTTTTTTTTTTATTTTGTAGGTAGTGAAATACAACAGGACAAGACAGAACAAAGCCAATTGAGACAGTGTAGTGAAATTGGTACAGAACTTCAGCAGGTTACCAGGATAACAGCAATAGGTATCACAGTACATCTCGTTATCATCACATTAGTTGTTCTTTCAATCACATATAGCAAAATAAACTTAGAACTTATCAAAACAGAATATTGAATAGAACAGTACCATTAATCAGAATAAAGCAAAACAGTAGTAAAATTATTTGCCTTCAAAAAGATGTAGAAGAAATCGTCCTTATTTGCTATATTGCATATGGTCAACCTCCCAAGTGATGATCAAGTCTCTGGTTCCCATTTGCTAAAGTGGGGAGGGGAAGTGGGATGTTTGACTCTCAAGCCATGCACCAGTAGGCTCACTATTGCTTAGCAAGGCAGGCTGATTGCTTGTTCTGCTAGCGCCCTAAGTTCCAATATGGTGTGGATCTCAGGAGATGCTTGTGGTTCTCCCCCTGGGGCTTGCGCAGCCTATATAGATGATTTTTAAAATGGAAAGGATTATTATTTTTGGCTTCCCTCTACCACTGTTTTATTAATGTCTAATAGTTCCCTGGTACGGAAAGTAGAAGGATCTGGCATCACATTTTAGCTATCTTTCATCACCAGGAGATAGGCATGTTCCATTGAGTAAATTAATCAGAAAGTCCTTCAGGCCAGTCATCCAGAGAGGCAGAAGCTGAAGCTATCAAGGAATTCTGGATTTGAGAAAAGTGCTAGCCAAGTGAACATTGGTCCCGGCAGGGAGAGGTAAGTTCAGGATGTTGGCCTTGTTTTTCAATGAAATTTCAAAGAAGGCCAGATTCCCTAAGGGGTGGAGCAAATGTCATACATCTGCTTGTTGTAGAATGATTCACCAAAGCAGAAAATCATGTGGGAGCCATCACACATATATCTCATCAAGATCTCATAGGAAGAGTTCAGTTCCCTGTCTGATAGAGAAAGGCTTGGTGATCATTGATAATCAGAGTTCCTACTTTATTCATTCCAATTCAATATTATTTACTTCTAAGTTTAAAAACGTTTTAAAATTACTATTTTAAAAATCTTTTCTCCTAGTGTTTGTTTGCTTTCTGTTATTTTATTATTCATTTACGTAAAAAATAAAGTTCAGATTTACGTTCTTAAGTGTTTTTTAATTTAAAATTTTCATTACAATATTTGGGTAATAAAATCCCACAGCATATAATAGAAAGATTTTCCCGTGATATTTATATGGTTGTTGGTTCTTTCTTTCTTTGTCCCTTTCTCCACTCTCCCTCTTTCCTTCCTTCCCTCTCTTTCTTTAATGGATGTTGAATCGTGGACATTTGTACTGAGCTACATCCCCAGCCCCTTTTTTATTTTTTATTTTGAGACAGGGTCTTGCTAAGTCACTTAATTGCCCAGTATGAGCCTCCCAGTGCTGGGATTATAAGCTAGTTTGTGGTGTTTTGAAAAAAATTTAATTGTGTATGTGTGTGTGTAGCTGGCAATGGAACCCAAGGCCTCACATGTGCCATTCCAGTGAGTCTACCACTGAATACATCCCTAATCCTAATTTTGATTTTTGATGGTATATTTCTCACTAGTGTCCTCAAAGGACAAACACAGTTTCCAGATGAGAATTATCAAGGTTTCTTAGATCAGTGTGGCTAATACAAAGATATATAGGACTTATATGTAGTAAAATTGTAAATTTGATGAAATTTTCATTTGCAGTCTTCCTGACACCGTTACCAGTACCCTAGAACTGATCTGTAACTTCATGGGCTTAGAAACCTCGTTTCTTCCGCATACATTCATCTCTCAGGGCTAAACCCTTCCTTTATTGTGAAACTAAAATGGTGAAGCATTCTAGAAGAATTTGATCAACATAATTGGTCCGTTCCATTCCAGTAAGCAAAGCCTATATGAGAAGCCAAATGATAAGTAGGTACTTTGGTGAGGAATCAGGAATTTGTTGTGAAAATTTTCTTGGCTAAGACCAGCTGGAGGCCTCCAATGAGGGTAAAATAAATGTAGTTGAGCAGGGTACTCAGTCTTCCTGTGGCTAACTCACCCTGTCTTTTATTTCTGCCAGGATTTTGCTTGAACGGTTTTCTAGGCTAACCCAAACCTCCTTCCCATGGTAATGTCACATGGACTTAAGAAATATCCCGTCTCTATAAAAATGATTTTCATGTCTTTGCTATGGTTTATTCGTTGTCCATTTGTCACTTACTTCTCAGATTGTATCCTAGATTCAGAGCTGTCTCTCCGTTACCCTCATGCTCAGTCAACAGCAGGCATGTGAAGTACCAAATAGCTGTTGGGGTGTAGTAGACAGAGCTAACTGTATCAAATGTTTCCTCTCATGGAAAGGAAAAATCAGCACATTATAAAAAGAAATAGAATCTGAGATTTGAATCAGAGTCTCTTGCAAAACAGGAAGCACTCTTCTTGGAGTGCTGATTAAAAGCAACTCCATTCTTAATTATTCCAACTCAGTCACCATTGGAAATGTTAATTTCCTAGAGAGAACTTTAATCATATTATTCTAAATCATAATAACCAGATTTGTGATCTGTGTCTGCATGATGTAAATAGCTTGACTTTCTGTAGTTTCACATATCTTTTCAGAATGAGATTATATACTTAGTGTACATAGCGGTCTTTGACATTTATGCAGGTATGTGAGTAAAAAATAGAGAAACATTACAGAAAAAGTAAATGAAAAGTGTCTCTTTGACCATCAGTTCCTAGAAGTAACCTGCATTCTTAAAGTACTCTTTTTTATCTTGATTTTGATGTCATATTTTATCTGCTTGGAATTCTATTTTGTGTTCCCTTTAAAATTACTTTTAGATAGTTGATATATTAATTTAGTTAATTTATATGTAAACTTCATAATGCTTGTACACTTAAAATGTGAGAAATTATCTTAAATGTACACTAAGGTTTCTCAGTGATGGCACTACTGACATTTCCGAGTTGTGATGACTAAAAGTATTTCCAGACGTTACTGAATGTCTTCAGGGATGGCAGTAGAGCAAGCTCTGCCTACCCTGAGGGAATCACTAATCATTTGAGAGCTTGCCTTTTTTACACATTTAGGAATGCTAATATTTTACTTAAGTGTACTTTTCTGTTTGCTACACTGATGCCTTTTTAAATTTTCTAACTTCAGAAAATTGCTCCAGAAACTCATCGTTCAAAAGAAGTCCCCCTAAACGAGAAGATCTGTCTTCAGGTGGGGTCCCAGTGTAGCACCAATGAAAGTGAGAAGCGTAGCATTTTGCTGGAAAAGTGTATCTCACCCCTGGAAGGTAATATCCAAAAGCACTCTCTAGGTATTTAGTGAATAAATCCAGATGCTCCATGTTCATTATTCATGAATTCTTTGAATTTGCAAACTTTTGCTGTGTATTAGGGGCTGGCCACATGATGATAACTCTGGTGTATGCCTCTGTCTTCAAGGACCTCACAGACGACACAAGTAACAATGTCTAATAGATAACAGTACTTTTAACTTAAGAAATGAATATAGCACACACACACACACACACACCTCTGCTACATTGTTCTCTACACGTTTATCTTGTGGGCCAAAGCATGTATTATTGTCATCACCCATTTATGAGGAAGAAAAGAGCTGAAAGACTTGTTCTAAGTTTTCAGATTCCAGGTCCAGTACATTTAAGAAAACCAAAATGCTATCTTATTTGTGATATGTGGAAATTAATTGGGGATATAAGGCATATTTAGGAAAAGATGTTAAAAAGAAAAAAAAAGCATGCTAGTCTAAGTCAATATATGTGAGGTACTAAGGATGATGTCTGGCAAAGTATAAAAGCTATACACATATCATCTGTTAATACATGTCCCTTGATTGAGCAGGTCGTCTTCCAGCTCTAAACCTTAGCACTGTGGCCTTTACCTGTTCTGCACTGACTGAAAACATATAAAATGCTATTTATAAAATTATAAAATTTAAAATTTCTAGGAGGGTGGGATCATAGTTTAAGCACATTACCTACTCTATTCTCATTTAAAAACAATTCGATTATGATACAAAATTGATGATGGCACTCCTTAAAGGGCCATGAGGGATAAAAGTTTATATTTTAAATGGAGGCATTTAAATTACAGACATGATTCCTTAACTAAAACTGCTTATAGAGATTTCAGATCACAAAGATTTTAGAGCTCCTAAAAGTCACAAAATAAGCATTTATTCAGGACTAACCTATGCTTCCTTTTCTCCAGAATTGCTTCAGAAGGTATGCTGTTTACTTTTTTTGCACAGTATTGATCAAAAGACCTGAAGGTATATTGTACCTCCATAAAGTTTTTCTAAATACGAGAGTTGGAGCTGAGGTTGTAATTTAAGTGTTTGAGCGTATGCTTAGCCTGTGGTAGATCTCGAATTCTGTCCCAGCACCAAAATAAATAAAAAACAGTGATTATTTGTATTTCTACTTTTATTTAGGATTCTATAGTCATTGCCTGATTGAAATACTATAACCTCTCTGCAGTTAGAGGTACAAGAGTTAGGATCCTTCAGAAATAGCAAAGATGTTTTTCTTGAATCAGGAAATGAGAGAGAAGGTTGTAAACAAATTTGATTTTGGTTTTTGCCATCTGGGTGACTTCTGGGTAAAATGGGATAATTAGAGATTAGTTTTCTGGGAAATCAGTCTGAAACACCCTCCCATCTCCCATGCCAGAGAGCCAAGTTTGCATTCCAAGTCAAGACATGCCCTAAACTCTTGCCTGGATATTCTAGGTGACCCTGAGTCTGCTGTGACCGAGCTTCAGTGCATCTGGCACAACCTGAGGTTAATGAACTGTTCTTGGCTCCCTGGAAAGAATTCAAGTCCCGACACTAATTATACTCTCTTTTATTGGTGAGTAGGCGTGTATAGTAGAATTACTGAGATTTCAATGTGATTATTTGGGGGAGCTCTTGGATCCAACTGAGCTGAAAAAAAGAACAGCTTATTCTCTTCCATAAGGGCAAGATGGTAGGCAGTGTGCTTCAGTAGAAAATGTGTCTGTTTCAGGTGTCTACTTAAAAATTTTTCTATTTTTAATTGTAGAGCCATAAAATATTATTGCAAAAAATATATAAGGACACTCCATGTACCTTTCACCTAATTTCTCTTGGTGGTAGTATCTTACGTAACTACTTGTAGACTGCAATTGTGCTATTGCTCTGTAGAACACTGGACCTGAACCCCACCCCAACCCCTGCCCCATGTTTTGGTGCACAAGATGCACTCTCTTACTGCAACCTTCCCTTCAAAAATAGGGATACTGAGTCAGTGTGAAAGCAGCTTGGAGAAGGGATGACCTAACCTCAGTAATCTGCCCTCCACTTGGCGCTGTCTCTGCAATATTGTTTGCTAAAACAGCTCTGAGAGAATAGGGTGTGGAGCGCTGTGTCTAGGACTTCTGAGACTACAGACAAACATGACCTTTCATCCTGGAGTGTTGGGCTAGGTGTGGCTCCGTGGTAAAGCACTTGCCTAGCATTTGTGAGGCCCTAGATTCTTGCTCTAGCATTGTCAAAAGAAGGAAAAATGATCCTGGAGTGTCCATTTTGCATGAGGACTTGATGAAAGGTAATTTTGGTATATGAGAACACTCATGGCTATATCATGGAACAGAATGCAAAAACCTCACATTTCATTTAAATTATATTTCTTTTTAACATAAACTATATTTATTTTTAAACAGATTTATGTATTCATATTTAGGAGTTATCATGTGATATTTCAATACATGTATAAAATATATAGTGTTAAAATAATGTTTAAATCAGGTTCATCAGTTGTATCTCCTCAAATCAAAACATAAAGTTTTGAATGAAAGCCTCTGAAGTGGCCTAAGAATTAGCATTCCTTCTCTTCCTCAGGGGAAGGGTCCTTCTAGAAAAGTTGAAAAATACTTCAGGTGGAGCCAGACTGCACTGAGATTGTACGGTTCTTTTTGGAGGTTTTGGTTTTTCCCCCTTGACATAAATAATTCTCACTCTAGGTTTTATAGTTTCATTTGCCAACTTTTGGTACTATCATTTCTCATTTTCTTAAAGTCCTTCCGGCATCCCTGATGGCTTTGGGATAAAGTCAAAAGTCTTCAACAAGACAGAAAAGGCTCTTCACAGTCTGGCTCCTGTCAGTCTTTCCAGCCCTGATCTCATCTCCTTCCTTCCACTCCTGCCCCTCTGAACTCCTTTCAGTTTCACAAAGTCACTGTCAAATACTTAGGCAGCAGTGTGAAATCCAAGCAGACTATTCCTCAGAGGTGTGGACATATTCTGTCTAGCATGGAACATCCCCTTGTAACCGTGCTTTGCCCTTTTACCTAAAGCCTTTTATTGGTATCAGCTCAGCCCAGACCCTATTTCCTCACCAGAAAGCCTTTCTAGACCTCTCAAGTCTAGATCTATGCCCTTTTATCGTGTCCCACGACACCTTGTACTTTTGTATGTCACAGTGTTCAGTACATTGTATTGTCATTTCCTGTTTACTTAGCCCTGGGCTGCAATGTCCTTTGAGAGCATTAACTGGGTCTTGTTTCCCCTGGTGCTTGACACATGCTAGGTTTTCCATAAATCACTTGTGGATGTTTGGTAAGATACAAAGCTAGAGAACATTCAGATTTGGGGTGAGAACTTAAGAAGTACAGACAACTCATGAGCAGTATAGTTCAGGAATCAAAAGAGAACATGATTGAATAGATCTGGCTATAGAGAAGCTGCACAAAAAAGTAAGCCTTAGAAGGAATACTCTTGCTCTGTTGATGTTTCATTGAAGTCTAGAAAATCTGTTATTACAAACTTTTCAGTTGTCTTAAGACTAAGTAGCATCCCTGTGTTATTATGCTATTTTTTGGTTATACTGTTAACTCCAGGATCATTCCCCAACTAGAAGAGAATATAAAGAATCTGTGTCTACATATGGGGAAGAAAGACTAGGAAAGAAGTCTTAAAATATATCTTATCACATGGCAGTCTATGCAGGAGTGTAACCTAGCTATTACATTAGGGTTACAACGGAGGTATGTGGTGGCCTAGTCGTTGAGATTCTAGGACAAAAATAATAAAATGTCTAGGGATACACTAGCACAAACCAAATCTCCACACAAACTGCACCGAGTGCCTCCTTGGGATGAATGAATTAGAAAAAAATTCACTGGCCAATTTGAAAAAGCATTGTTTTTCCCATGCGTTGAAGTGTTCCTCTTCCTCTGGGCTGAGGTAGGAATTTGCAAAAGCTGGTCTGGCTTTTAGCTCTCCATTAATGGCTTTTTGCAAGGTGCTATCTGTAACAATTGGAAGTGGCTCAGGAAGCAATCTGAAGAGAATAGTACTTCACTGGAATCCAAGGCAACAGGTATCAAAGATCCTACTTCTTTCCATACACATTGCCAGAGCTTGTTACCAGCAGGAGCTCTTTCTAAAATGCATACTTATGCTGTTCAACACAGGAGCTACTAGCTACATGCAGCTATTAACATTGTAACTTAAAGTCATTAAAAGTAAATTAAAACTTTTGTTATTCACTGTCACTATCCATTTTGCAGTGGCTCTTGTATGCATAGAAAGGAAACATTTCCAACATCTCAGACAACTCTGCTGGACAGGTTTGGTATATTCTGTATCTTCTGCCTTCACCACATCACACTGCTTTGGGTTCAAATCCTGGCTGTCTTCTTTAGTAGAAATATGGTTTGGCGCTTTCTCTGTGATCTTCAGTTGTATAATCTATAGAATGGAGATAGTGAAATTAGTGCCTACTTTGCAAGACTGTTCTGAGGGCTGTTACTGTACCAAAAGTGTTTGGAGCTGTGACTAACTGCTAGCATATATAGAGTGAGCATTCAGTAAATGATAGCTGTTGCTCTGATGTTTATGATTCATCCCCACTCCCTTGCAGATATCATCAGCACACAGTGCCAGTCTCTTCTCCACCTCATAGAATTGGCATCGAGCTCATAACTCATCTCTTTTTTTGCTTTTCCCTAAGTAGATCCTTTCTAGTTGAAACCACAAAGCAAGGTAGTGAGAACATGGTGCTCATTAGCAAGCACCTATAATGCTTTAGATACTGGTGTAAATCTTATCATACAAACAACCAAAGACCATTTTCACAGCAACTGGAAAATGTGGAGTCATTTTTTAAATTCTTTAACTCCCCAGGGCAATGACTTGTATCTGCAGGGATAGTTTGGCATTGTAGAGTCTGATTTGAATAGCTACCAACTATCCAGGGCAATGAATTTTAGGGAATTTCTTAGCACATTAATCATCTTGGGAAAATAGTCTTTAATTTGTCCATTTCCTTTCTACAGCATGGTTCTCGAGAGAAATTCAGTGTGTATATTTTAACAGGCTCATCTGCTTTTCTTAGATTGTTATCTGATTTTTCACAAGGAATCCAAAGAAATTGTCTGTTGAAAGCTATTTTCCCCTTATTACTGTTATTTCTAAATTATAATAAAATTGTTATAAAAATTCCACATGTGGCTGGGTGTGGTGGCACAAGCCTATAATCTTAATACTTGGAAGAGTGAAGCAAGATGATTGCTGTGAGTTCAGCACCAACCTGGGCTATGTCGTGAGTTCGAAGCTAGCCTGAATGACAGTGAGAACTTGTCTTGAAAAAAGAAAAAAAAATAGTTTCACATCTGAGTCCATGAGTAAATATGAAATATTCATGGTACAAAAACAAAAAAGTTACTAAAGATTGCCCATTACAGGAGTTCCTTCTCTTATTGAAATAAACTAATTTTATATATACTTTTATTTAGTTATAAAAAATTTCATTGGTTTCTTTAGTTTCTGTTTCTGACTGAGTAGGAAACATGCCAGGACTATGTGATCCAAAAACCAGCTATGATAGTAAGTTGATGTTTAAAAAACTGTTTTCTCACATAAATTCCAGGGACCTATAACTAGGAGAAAAACTTTTGTGTTATCTCTTGAAGAACAAGAAGATTTTTATTAAAGACAAGGGCATTTTCTCTGGAAGGACAGGAACATTTCTATGCTGAAGCATCCTTTGCAAATGCTTTGCAGGGATAGGTGCTTTAGATCTGAACTTCTTAAAAGTCTGCCTGTCTGTTTTATTTAACTAACTTATTCATTTATTTTTGTGGTACTGAAGAGGGAAGACAAGGCCTCAGACCATTAGGCAAGCACTTTAGCATTCCCAGTTTTTTTAAAAACCTGATTTGCAGCAGAATCTCTTGGGGAAGATTTCTTTGGAATACTGATTCCTAGGTCCAGGCAAACCCTTCTAAGTTGAATTCTCTGTGGAAGGGTTTGAGGAATCAGTACCTTAAATTACTACAGTTGATTTTGAGGTAATAATACAAGAGTTTGGAACTCTACTCCTTTTTCATTTCTTAGAAATTGTCTTTCTTTTCTGAAGAACCTTTGCACAACTCCCATTGTGGCTGATGATGTAAAACCTGGCCATGTCTTCTATCACTCACTAAAAAAAAAAGAGTACTCTGACAACCTAGATTAAAACGTATCGTGAACACATTCTGTCTATTTGCACTGTGTTAGATCCAATAGTCATTGGTGAAAGAAAGCATTGAATGCACATGGTGGAAGAGGACACATAGAAAGCTGTTGTGTTCTGGACCCATGGGGCAGCAATCAAAGGCCAAGGGCGTTATTAATGAAAATCAGAGAGGTCACTCTGGAGCAGGCGTGAAGCCTAAAACAATGAGATCATGAGTCAGGGTGTGGGCAATGGGAATATCACAGTAATTCAGAATCCAAGAAGCTCTGCATGAAAACTTGGTGGTAGAATATAGGGAAAGGAAAAAAAGTGATTTCAAAATCTAAAGAGCCTAGAGAAAATGCACTCTGAGTAATAAAAATAGGAAGGTTGGAAGAAAAGGCAGTTTTGTGGGGAAAAGGATGTATGGTATGTTTTAGACACTGACGGTGAAGCACAAGTGGAACACTAGCATGGAACCAGTAGAAGGCTGGGACTAGCACTGAAGTGAGTGGTTCAAACAAGGAATCGCCAGAATAGAAATTACTGTATAGTGGGAACAGGAGTGATAAAATTGGGAGTAGTTGGATGAGTGAGAAATACAGAAGATTGTACTATCCTCTGAGGAGAGGGAAGGAGGAGAGAAACAAGCCAAAAAAAACCAAGAAGCAGGCAGTGAGACAAAAAGAAAACCATGGATTCAGAACATCAGCATTTTTGAGAAGCATAAAACTTCTCATCCTGGCTTTAGAACATTTTCTTCAAATTTCTTCTAAGTGGAAGGTCAGGACTCCTATAATTTTTATAGCTATTGACAATATTGATATCCATCATCAAAGACGAGCTTTTCTTCCTAAACAATGGAGTGAGCCATATTTTAAGATAGGAGTTTTAAAAAGCTGTCTTGCCTTTTTGCAAATATTGCTTTCAGTGTACATTTCTAGTCATTAAAAAATTCTGCTCCTGTATCTTCAATACCGCATTCAAAATAATACAGAGGGTTGTGTTATTTTATCTTGTAGGCATAGCAGCCTGGGAAAAATTCTTCAATGTGAAAACATCTATAAAGATGGTCAATACATTGGTTGTTCCTTTGATCTGAGTAAAGTGAAGACTTCCAGTTTTGAACAACACAGTGTCCAAATAATGGTCAAGGATAATGCAGGAAAAATTAGGCCATCCTTCCATATAGTGCCTTTAACATCCCGTGGTAAGTTTTAAAAGTCCTCTGTAACAATGCGGATAAAAGTGGCATATGTCCTCTGAACAATCAATATAAATGATAAGAAAATGATGTTTGGTCTTCAAATTTTCCTAAAACAAGAGACTATGTATCTAATCTTTCTTCAATAGACACTTTTTAAAGTAGCAAGCTTGGGAATTCTGCTTCTTGAGCACATGTGCCAAGTGCTTTATCTTTGTACTTAGGAGCCTCCCCAGACTTGGAACAATTAGTTGTAGGACCAGTATTGGAATTTGGGTTGTATGACTGTAAGATCTATTCTCCTTTCACTTATGATATATGAGAGGATGATGCTTATGTGATGCTTCATATTGTTCCTGAAATCCCTTTAGAAAAAGCTTAAAATGAACATGATATAATAAGGGATAATATTTTTTTTTGATGCTGGATATGTGATCCTATAGCTTCAAAACCACTAAACAGATTCTCTACCACTGAGCTACACCTACAATTCCATATTCAAAATATTTAACATTCTTTATGGCACAGGCACCCATTGGTCAGAACAATGAAGACAGCCATATTTGGGTGTATGAACTGAGTTGGCGTGTTAGAAAGAGGCTTCAACTTTAGGATAGACTGTCTGGTTGAGGTCCTAGCTCCCCTTTGGACAAGGCATATAAATCCTCTCCAAGTGTTTCTGTATAAAGTGGAATATATAGTCCCTTTTGACCTCAAAGAATTAATAAGGTCCAGATGATATAAGGTATATAAAAGCATTTTGTAAATCTCTAAAGAAATTTCCAGGCCGGGGATACAGCTCAGCGGCATAAGTGCCAATCTGGCACAAAGTCCTGAGTTCAATTCCTGGTACAAAAAAAAGAAAATAACATATTGGTTTCGTTGTTGTATTATCCTAGTAAGGGGGTCAGATTCTGGCTTAGTGGTATACAGATGATTTATAGGCAAAGAGCCATCCTTTGGCCAAAGATCTCAAGTCTGTAAGTAAAACATTACTTATAACCTCTTTAGATAGTTGTGAAAGTAAATTCTAACAAGGGACCAAAGGCAGCCTAGTTTGTAGGCGAAGGGAGGAGGATGAGGACAGTTTTCAAAGTAGGATATGGTGAAGCAAAACTTTCTCTTTCTACTTTCTTTGGGGCAGATTATCCTAGATATACTTTTTAGACTTATGTATTTTGATGCTCTTCCTCTTGGAATTAATGATGACATAAAGGACAATTCTCAGCCAGAAGATGGAACCTTCAAGTTGCTTTCTGTCAATTATCCATTTTTTTTCTGTTGGTTGATATTAAGTATAACTGACTCCAACCAAGGTAAATTGATCTGGCTAATGGTTTTTAAAAAATATTTATTCTTAATTGTGGTTACAGTTACATAATATTGAATTTACCATCATAATCATGTTTAACTGTAAAGTTCACTAGTATTAATCATATTGACATTGTTGTGCAACGGAGAGCTAGAACTTTTCATCCTGCCAAACTGAAACTCTATATCCACTAAGCACAAATTCTCCCGCCTCTAGCCTTTGCCTTTAATTTTTTGAACCTTTCTGCTTTGTTTCTGTAAACTTGACTACTTTATTTACAGCACACAAGTGGAGTTATGTAGTATTTATCTCTTTTGTGACTGGCTTATTTTAGTTAATGTCATGTTTTTAAGATTTATCCATGATTGTAGCATATGATGAAGACTAGGCTAATGTGTTCATTTTGTGGTCTCTGATTGGAATGAGTGACTCACAGCTGGGTCTGCCCCCTGTAAATAATGCTTTGTTACCCATCAAATAGGGGCACATCTGGATGTAGGCACTTCTTTTCTTTATTCTTTATGTTGCAGTTAAAAGTCCTGATTATACCCTGGCCATTTTCATAACCACATAGCAGGTCAGAATTCATGTCATTCTTGAATTCATTTTACTAAACAGTTTTTAAAATCTTCTAAAAAGTTGTTTTGAGACAAAGTCTTGTTATGTAGTCTGAGTTGGCCTTAAACTTGCTGTGTAACTCAGGCTGCCTCAAACTTCTGAATGCTGAGGTTATAGGCATTTACTACCATGCCGGGCTACTAGGAAGTTTTAAATAAGTTTCTTTCACTAATTGTGGCTAGCCAATATTGTGATTTAACTTTGTAAACCTTCATTATCCATTTTATATGTGTATAATCAAATTGTGGAAGCTAAATTTATTTCTTCTATCTTTCAGTGAAACCTGACCCTCCACATATTAAAAATCTGTTATTCAAAGAAGGTACCTTATATGTGCAATGGAAGAATCCACCAAATTTTGAAAGCAGATGCTTATCTTATGAAGTAGAAGTCAATAAGAGCCAAACTGAGATACATCGTCTTTTCTCCGTACGTTTTTTAGATTGTTATTTTTCCTTAGATATTTTCTTTTACTTGAATTTCTTACATCAAGTATGAAGGAAATATACTTTTTACATTTGTTACCAGATAATGATGATAAAGAAGCTTGTTGTCTGAATAGGGCAACATGGAAAGATTGAGAGTTTGTGTTAGTATTAACTGCAAGTTTCAACACATTACTAATTCATTTGTTCAATATAAGTTTTATTTCATTTTTTTCTTTGGCCCTGGAATTGAACCCAGGGCCACACATCTTTAATGCTTTAGATATTTTTGAGAAAGAGTATCACAAAGTTACCTAGGTAGGTGTCAAACCTGGCAATTCTTCTGCCTCCACCTTCTGAGTAGCTGGGATTATGAGCATGTACTCTGACTGGCTAAAATACTTAGTAAATCAACATTTTGGGACCATTAGAAAAAATATATATATAGTTGTTTTTCAGTGATTGGGATCACACGTGGGGCCTGGGGCATGTCAGGTAAATACTCTACCATTGAAGTACACCTCTACCCCTTGCTCAGTAAATTTTATTAGGTATCTACCATTTGCCAGGTTCTTTTTACATGCTGGGAATAAAGCAGCAAATGTGACACTTGATGAACAAGTTGGTTTTTTTTTTTCATGAAGCTTACTTGTTAGAAAATAAATATGTTTCAAGGAGCAGACTACTTCCATAGCATGAGTAATGTGAAAACAATAAAATGGGGTTATTATTAGAGAGACTGAGAGGGTCCTGTGAAGATCTGAAGTATAGTGACTGAGGCAAAAATGAGCTTGACATGTGAGAAAACAAAAACAAAACTGGAGTGAGCAGCATATAGTAGGAAAAAAAGGCTTAAGCAGAATGCAGAGATCAGGTCATCTAGATTCTTGCAGCATTTCATTTTCTTGGAGTTTGTGTCAAGGAAGGTAGTCAGTTCCAAGTCCAATAGTCAGTATTTTTTGGATTATGTACACTTCCACTATTTAGAATATAATACAAGATATTCTAATTAGAGATTCCTATGAGGCCTTGAATAGAATGTGGTATGACCTCAGGGCACCATTCCATCCTTAGGTTTATAGAAAGGGTCACAAATTAAGGCCTTCTATTCTTTTGTTTGAATCAAAAACAAAGGAGGGGTGTTTTACTCTTCATTTAATGAAATTAATTTTTTTGCCCAGATTTAAAATCATACATCTTTGGATGCATATTTCCATAAGATGGTGACTCAAGACTTCAGGGACTGTGCCACTCACTTTTTTGCTTCCTGCCTGTGCCTCTTGTATGGTTTCTTTAAGTTTTAGAGGTTAGATACAAGATGTCCTATATTGGCTTTTAAAAGCCCAGCAAATTGCATGTGGGCAAATTCCTTGGTCCAGTTGTTTTAGCTTATCACAAAATTTTTCAAAATGATAACTAAAATAAGTCAGTGTTGACAGGCTACCACTCCTGAGGGAGTGCCTGGACATTGACAGATGACTCTGCTGAAGTATAATTATGATTACTACCAGAAGTCACAGTGTTCCCATGAAAGAGTACAGCGTGCAGAAGCAAAGGCTCCCACATAGGGAAGGATGTAATGCTTACATTTATAAGACAGTAAATAATTAGAAACCTGAAATATTTTGATTTGTGTAGCCTTTAGTGATCCCCTGTGCATAATATTCTGGGACACATGCTACTTGTATTAACTTACTTCACTCCTCAGTTATGTCCTGCCTTTTAAAACCTGACCACATATGACTTTCTTTCCACTAAAAATATAAACTCCTATAGAAAGGAGTTGGATGGTGTCTATTTTATGCTGTTCTTGCAAGTAATAGCAGCTAATATGTACTGAATGCTCACTGTGTACTGAGTGTGTTAGTAAATACTGTATCTGAACTGTCTCATTTAGAGCTTATAGTACTACTAAAGATCTTCGTCCTATTATTTGATCCCCATTTTACTCATCAGAAAACTTTAGTTATGCCTAAGATCACATTTCTAGTAAGAGAATCATGATTTAAGCAAATTTAACTATAAAGCTTGTAATTCTTAGTGATAGACCACTTCAATACTTTTCCCTTTTAATACTAATAGCCATCATTTATTTATTGTTCAGAATCTGCCACAAAGATACTCCTCTATGAACGTCTTATATAGTAGCCTATAATAACCCCCACGAAGTACTATTGTAAACTACATATTCTAAGGAACTAAAATTAAGAGAGTTTAAGTAACTTTCAGCAATCCATAACAAATAATAAGTTAATATGACTTCAGAGATTTCAAAGGTTTATTGTTTGGTCTCTGTGTATTGAAGTTTCAACAGTAATACTTGGTATAACACCATACTCATGATCATCACTTAATAAAGTCATCAAGTTATTTTTGTTTTTATAAATTTACAAACTAAAGAGAATACATAAACTATAGAAATTATCTAAGTAAATCAGAAATATGGTCTCTTTGGAATTAATTCTGTTGATGCACTTGAATATTCTTTTTCTAGCCAGCTATTTCCTCTAGAATGTCATCAGTTCTTTGTTTGAGACAGGGTTTTGCTATGTAGTTCAGGCTGGCCTTGAACTCACTGTGAAGCCCAGAATGGACTCAAACTCTCAGCAATCCTGCTGCCTCAGCCTCCCATGTGCTTGGGTTACAGGCATGAGTCACCATGCCTGGCTTTAGAGTTTCATCAGTTCTTTGTGTCTTTACTGATTTCGAACTCTATTAGTTAGGCTATTTTTTAAAATTTTTGTAATACTATCTGAGGATTTATTTTTGCCTGGTGTTAACAATTAAGAAAGGGAAATAAGACAAAACACGAACTGTACCATCACAAGGGGACTGTACTCAGAGTTAACTCATGACAGAATCATGAAATATGGAATGACTTGTTTTGTTACTACCATCCATCCTTAAAAACTATCTACTTGATGCTCTGTGTTCCTGTTTTCCTTCTCTCAGAAATACCTGAGTAGCTGATAAGCTAGACAAAGGAATTTTCATTTGAGTAAGAGACTAGAGACCTAAATCTGCTCAATAATTTTCTGACTTTGGACTTTATGTATTTGGCAGATGGTTCAAGGAAAGAGGGACCTCAGTCTCTCAATTGACACGAGGGATTCCCCAATAGGTCTATAACCCCAAATAGCTAGCAGTAGTATACTGAGTGGTTCCTTCTCTGTCCTTGGATGAAATATTGAAAACATGATCCTTTGTCATTCCATTGGTCTTTCAGCTTTTCACATCTACTAGTAGAAACCATTTAGTAAGTCACATTAAATGTCAAGAATTAATGGATATGCGTGCTATCCATGTCCATGTTTAAATGTCTTTAATAAAAGTTGACTAAGCAACAGATTTTTCATTCCATTCTTTAAAAATTTGCATCTAAGGAACTGATTATTCTTTTTACATCAGATAGCAAGTGACTTACATTGTGTGGAGAATTCTAAATTATGCTCTCTTTTCTCCACTTTATATCTTATACTTTTGACAATGAAGACTAGTATCTGGCTCTCTTGATCTCTCGTCTCAAAACTTTGTGTTCATGCATAATACACGATATAAAAATTACACAAATCATAATATAGTGGTGCCTTAGTTCATGAACACTTTGTTTGCAAACAGAGTGTTTGACAAAATTTTGTTTTTGTTTGCAAACTGCATTGGATGACAAACACAAATGTAGCCATTTTTTCCAGTTGTAGAATAAATTGAGTTCATGAACCAAGGTAAAACTTTTTACAGCTCAGTGATGTTTTTCATAAACAATTTTTGTAAATGACTTTCCGCTTATGTTACCAGCACCCCAACACCCTGCTCAGGACCTCCTTAAATTGCTACTCTCCCAGAGAACAACTACATCTTGAATTCTAATCCTATAGATTTGTTTTTTACTACTTTTAAAATTTCTTATAAATAGAATTATACAGAATGTACTTTTATGTTTGTTGTCTTTCATTCAACATTATAAGATTTTCCAATAATGTTTCCTACAGTTGTAGATAGTTCATTCCCATTATCTATTCCATTATGTTAATGTACCCCTTTTTTATTTATCCATTCTCTCACAAATTTGGGTAAGTTCCAATTTAGGGTAGTCAAAATAGAGTTTTATGAACATTTGCATACTTATCTCTGGGTGCACATGTTCATACCTTTCTGTTGGACATATATAAGTGTATGTGGTTCATAAGATTACATACAATTTCATCTAGTCAATAACAGTTTTCCCAATTGGTTGTGCCAGCTTATACTATTGAGCAGAAATTGAGAATTCTAGATGGTACATGTTCATCACTTGATATTCTATAGGTATATGTATCATTATCTTGTAGATTTAATTTGCATTTCCCTGGTGATCAGTGAAATTGTGTTTTTCCATGTTTATTGGAAGTTTGTATTTTTTCTGGTGAAGTGTCTGTTGTCTTTTGACATTTTTTCTAATGAATTATCTTTCTTATTAATTTGCAGAGAAAAAATATATGCAAGACCTTTGTTAAAAATTAAAAATATGTTCTTCCCATGTATATTTCCTGTTATTTACCTATTAGATTATCATTTATTAAACAGAATTTTTACATTTTAATACAGACCCCCCTTTATAAACACTTTATATTTATTGTTAATGTGAGATTTATGGGTGCTATTTAAGAAATCTTTTTTCAAGGTCACAATGAAGTTCTATGCATTCATTTAAAAGATTGTTACATGTACGTGTTTATTTGTTCATTTAATTTACTTTCCTTATTTAGATCTGAAATATATTTGGAATTGAGCTTGTTAATAGTGTGAGGTAGCAAGTCAAGATTCTGTTTTTCCCATATAGATATGTAATTGATTCAGCACCACTTATTAATAAGGCCAATCCTTTTTTCACTGTATTTGGTTCTCTTTTCATGGGCTATAAGGGAAACTTTTTAGAAATAGACAAATGATATAAAATGTGTTTTTAAAAATTTGGAATTCATTCATTTATTTTTTAATTTTCAAGACTGACGAGGATGGATGTCAGAATGCAGTGTTTGAGAGAAACATGAACGTGAGTAAATTTAACTTTAGTTATTTGGGGTTAGACTTCAAATAATAGGGGTAAGATCAGGGCTGACAAGATAAATTTGAACTGCTTGGAGAAAAATAAAGTACTTCATTCTGTGGCTTATTGCCAACTTGGAGTCAGAGTCAAATCATTTGAATTGTAATCCAAGTCTTAATCATATACAGAATCTGGCAGATAATTATATTATGATTCAATAGAAGAGAAAGAATAAACTGGTAATAGTGTTTGTGTGTTTTTATATCTAAGGATACAACTTGTTTCATGGTCCCTGGTGTTCTTCCTGATACTTTTTACACAGTTAGAATAAGAGTCAAGACAAATAAATTATGCTATGAGGATGACAAACTCTGGAGTAATTGGAGTCAAGTGATGGGTATAGGTAAGAAAACAGAATTTCATTAAAATTTTAAACATTAATGCATGGAAACTGAACTGAAGTAGAAAATTGACTAGAGAAGGACTTTCATGCTTTCTTGATGTTAGCCAAATAGTCCTAATTTAAATGTATTTTCTGTTTAATTGTATCAAGTTACCCAGGGTTAATTGACAGTACATAAGTATTTGGAAAAACCAGAATCCAGGTAGTCAAAAGTGTTATTTTCACTTCTGACCCACCTCCATCTTTAGTAACAGCATGAACAAAGACATAGAAGGCAGGCACAATCAAATATGTGGGTTTTACCATGCTAGAGGACTATCCTAAAGGCTGGTTGACAGAATCTAGGAGGAAGCACTGATCTTGGTGGCATTTCTGTGTCTAGTTTTGAAGAAAAAACACTTGTTAATGGAGACACTGAGTCATCCCTGCTCAGGTACAGGATTGGAAAGACCTGAGCTTTATACACATGTGTTATGGAATGGGGTACAGGGCTTCACTTGACTGTGAACTCAATGGGACTCAACATTGAAACCTAAAACCTCCCTGAAAGACATGTTCAGTCTTGGGCAGCAATGCAGACCAAGGGCTGTGGTCCTAATACATGGGTGGGCACAGTGATCTGGCCACATCAGAAGTGTGTAGCATCCCATTCTGAGCACCACATTGTAGGGAATGCATTGACAGATCAGAATCTCTCCTTGAAAGGGTGATCAGGATATTGAAGAACCTCAGTTTTAGTGAGGAACAATTGAAGTAATCTTGAAGACTCATAATTGCTGAATTCTAATATCTGTGGTATGTCAAGTTGAAATGGGAATAGGCTTGCTTTCTTTTTTTGTGATTCCAGAGGGCACAAAGAATCATTTTAAAAACTTTGAAATAGGTGTCTAAGACTCAGAGAGATGGGTTGTTGAAATCAGTTCTTTATTAATTGACAGGTCAAACAAAGTTACCTGCCAGGCATGGTTATATTAGTTATCTATTGTTGCAAAGGAAATAATCCCAAAGTATAGTGACTCTGAGCAACACACATTTAGCATCTTATAGTTTCTGTGGATCAAAAATCTAGGCATAGATTATTCAATGGCCTCATAAAGTTGTAGTCCAGATCTAAGTAGGATTATAGTCTTGGGTGGGGCTGGAGAATCCATGTCTTAGTTCACTCATGTAGTTGTTAGAAAGCCTCAGTTCCTCACTGGTTGCTGGATGTAGGCTATGGCAAGTTGAATCACGTTCCCTCAAAATGATATGTTCAAGTCTCAAACCCCAAAACCGGTGAGTGTGACCTTATTTGGAAATAGAATTTGTGCAGATATAATCAAGTTAAGATGAGGTTGTACTGTATTAGAATGAGCTCTGAATCTAATAACTAAGTGTCCTTATCGGAGGAGAGGAAACACAGAGATAGAGATACATAGACACACAAAAAGGCAGCCATGTGAAGACAGAGGCAGACGTTGCAGTGATGCAGTTACAGCCATGGATTCCCAGGAGCCATCAGAACCTGGGCAGAAGTCAGGAGAGGTTCTTACCAGAGCCTTCAGAGAGATCATGGCCTTGCTGACACCTTGATGTTGAACTTCTAGCCCCCCAACTGTGAGGGAATAAATCTCTGTGTTTTTAGCGCCTACTTTGTGACAATTTATTACAGCAGCCTCCAGAAACTAGTACAGAGGCTTCCCTTAGCCCCTGAGCACTTGGACCTCCCCACAGGATTACCTCCTGCCAGAGAAGCTGCTCTCTCCAAGTGAGTGATGCAAGCAAGAAAGAATGTGTGAGAAAACATCCAAACTGGATACTGTGGTCTTTTCTCACCTAATTTTCGAAATGACGCCCCATCACTCCTGCCTGAGGCTGCCTAAAAGAATGACATTTGGCCTTGATGATGCTTCTTTGATATCGTGCCATTGTGTGAAAGAGGACCACATAAAAGACAAGTGGTATTCTGTGTGTTATGTGCAGCAAGGCAGGTTTTGGAATGTGTGATGCTATGTGTTAGACCTCCCTGCATCATGTAGTTAACCTTCTGATGAATTGCTGATCCTTCTGAGCCTTATCCTTCGTATCTGTATAAGTGAAAGATAATACTGTCTATCTTTCTAGCATACATAGGAGGTAAGCATGTTGAAGTACTTAGTATGATGCCTGACATGTATTGGAGCTCATTAAGAACAGCAATAGTGGTAGGTATTCTAGTAGTGGTAAGCAAGTAGTAAGAAAAGATAGTTACTGTTAATGAGATGCCATCCTTAATGGACAGTCATATCTTTTATATCTTTGTAATAGTGTCTATTAGTTGTTAAGATGTCCTGATTGTAGATCACTCTTAAAGTATTTACTCATCCTGGAAATTTCAGGCACTATAACAGGACATTTTTTAATTATTAAGGTAACAGAAATTATCTTTGAAAAATAGTTTGGGCTAGGGAACAGAAATAACAATGGCTAATGAAATTTTTCCCTGATTCATTTTTAAAAGGGTTCTAGTTTTCATATCTTTCTGTTTGCTTTTCATTCTCTAGGTAAGAAGCCCAATTCCACATTCTACATGACCATGTTACTCATCATTCCAGTCATCATTGCGGGTGCAATCATTGTCCTTCTGCTTTACCTGAAAAGGTAAGGAACCTGCCCAGACATAATTTATACTTTCTGCTAGCCTGGTTACTATGGTTACTACTCTTGGAGCTGGTTTTTATATTTTCCCAGTGTATTAGTATTTTTACCATAAATGGTAGTTGATGGCATGAAATGACAAAAAAAGTACTATTGTGCTCATTTTCTGGCAAGATTAGGGCTCTGCTCAAACACTGTTTCTTTTGCATGTAGTCAGCATTATTGAATAGGCTCTGTGTTCATTTATTCCTTCAAACGCCTAATTTGTCAATGGTTACTTGAAAGTTCCTGGAATGAAGTTTTAAAGTAGAGGCTGGGAGTGTATCTCAGGGGTAAAGCAAATGCTTTGCATGTGTGAAGCCCTGGGTTCAAACCCCAGCACCAATAAAGAAAAACAAAATTAATCATTGCCAGCAAAATGACTTACTCAGTATTAATGCAAGCAGAGTGCTACCTAGTACTACAGAAATGAACACTTCACAGATTGTCACTAATACATGGCTCATTCCTAAAGAATGTTGTTTTCCTATCTCCCTATAGACAGTGTTACTTGTTCTTGCAGTAATTACCTAAGCTTGGAATAAGTCTATTAATCCAGATCCAGAATCAACATTTTATATTTGAACAATCTTTCATTATGCATATTGTACACAGAATGCCTATTTATGTGCCACACACTGCTCTAAGTGCTAGTGTTACATCAGTGAAAAGGACAAAGTCCCTATCAGTGTACTAATATGGGACGCACACACACACTGATTTCACAGTGAATAGTTGCCAGTTGGCAGGGGATGGAGCTATTAGTAGCTGGAATTGTATTTTATGTAGATTAGCCAGGGAGATCTCTCTGGAAAAGTGACATTTGAGAAGAGAAATAGGATAAAGAAGTAAACCACTAAAATATTTGAGTAAAGAGCAACCCGGCCCAGCTGAACAGCAAGAGCAAAAGCCTCAGGGCTGGAATAAGATTAGTGTATCTGGCTGAGGTAGACTGTGCAAGAGGGAGAGTGGCTGGAGAGGAGGGGGAGAAGTTGTCAGACCAGACCATGCAGGCCCCGGCAAGGAATTGAGTTTTTTCCTTAGCGCAATAGGAGATACTGCAGCATGGTAAGACTGTGATCTGATGAAAGGATCACTTCCATTGCTGAGTGAAAAATTGACTTGTGCAAGAATAGAAGCAGGTAGACTACTTAGCAGGCATTGCAGTATTTGGAGGAAAGATGAGGGCAGCCTATTCCAGAGGGTTAGCAGTGAAGGTAGGAAGAAGTGGTCAGGCTATGCAATACATTTTTAAAATACAATTAATAAGGCTTGGTGATAGCTGCATCTCTGTGAAAATGTGAGGGAAACTAAGGATTCTAGGACACCCAGTAAGAGTTTTGTACTTAAATAACTGAGTAAGTGTTGGTGCCATTTTTGAGACAAAGACTGAAGAGGGCTGCATTTAGAGAAAGATGAGGACTTCAGTTCTGAATATGCTCTGATGCTCGCTAGTATCCAAGTAGACATGGTAAATAGGCAATTGTGTCTATGAATCTCGAATTTAAGGGACAGCTCTGGAATGGAGATATGATTTGAGGGGTCATTGCTATGTAAATGTGTTTGAAAAACTTGAAGAAAATGTTTCGCAAGTAAGATATAGAGAAGTAAAAAGGATAAAAAACTGAACCTTCAACACCAATTGGTTCTCCCTGAAAAGTAAGTCAGGTTCAGACTATAAGATTCAAAAATGGGAAGGAAAGAAGTAAAAAGAAAAGAAAAATTAAAGAGAAATATACCCTGCCATCAGATTATCAAAATTATAAAAAGCAAGCTTCTTTTTGGTCTACTAAAAGTACACCAATATTATTTAAATGATAGAATATAAATAATTGCTTATCCTGGAAGCTTATTTGCTTCCCTCAAACTTAGTGCTTTTAAGATATAGATTTTTATGTAGCCTTTTAAAGAACTGTTTTCACAACTGTCTTATCACTAAAGGAACTTGTGTACCATGACTTTTACTTAGTTATGACTTTTGTGTACCTTCCATTACCAAGGTTGTCTTTAAGTTGGGTACTCTTATCCAGTGAAAGGTTTGATCCAAATTATATCTGTTTCCTTAAAGGCTCAAGATCATTATATTCCCTCCAATTCCTGATCCTGGCAAGATTTTTAAAGAAATGTTTGGAGACCAGAATGATGATACCCTGGTAAGCACTGACTCCATGGGAGTTTGAAATTGGTTATAGAATTTTTAAAAATAATGGTAAAATAGCATAATGTAAAAATCACAATTTCAACAGTTTTAAATGTACAATTTAGTGCCATTAAATACATTAATAATGTTGGGCAACCATCATGACTGTCTATTTCGAGACCTTGTTCAATTAGCCCAAACAGAAACCATGCTCAGTAAACAATAGCTCTCCATTCCCCCATTTCCCTATCTCTGATAAGTACTGTGTCCTTCCTGTCTCTGAGGATTTGCCTATTCCAGATACCTCATAGACATAGAATCAACAATATTTTTATGTCTATTCATTTCAGTTTGCATCATGATTTCAAGGTATATCATGTTGTAGCATGCACCAGAATTTAATTTCAAAACTGGTTATTTTAAACTACAGCTTTATCTAAAAAGATCACAGAAGAGCTGATTTAAGGTATATCTCAAGCCAAGCATACAAGAAGTCCTCAGAACATTTTGCCTATTTTAGATCTTGGGGCTACGCCTTTTTTAAGATAAGGGGCATGTTTTATCCAAACATCTGGGAGGAAGAGCCTCCTCTATGAAGGTAGCCTAATAGCTAGGCCTTCTGACTCTAAGATGATTTTTAAAACTCAATACAGGAAAGTATACAGTGCAATAAAAATGCACTTTGACTGTGCCATTGTGTGGAAAATTGGATTCCAAGTACAAGAGAAAATAGGCCCACTCCATCTGTAAAAGTTGGTTTTCAGCAGACTGCAAAGCTAGAATTGTGGTTAGAATCCTAAGGCATTATTGAAACAAAATAGTTTGAGGTTTCTGTGATAAATACATGCACTCTGATGAAATAATAAAAACACTAAATGAAATAAATACCAATATGACTATATATTTTAAATTAGTACTAATAGGCATAAGGCAGCTAATTTAAGGAAGTAACACAGCATACTAGATAATAACCCAGGCTCTGGAGTCAGATTGTCTGGATTCAAATGTCTGCTGGGTCATTGGCCATCTTTTTAACTTCCCTAGCCTCCCTGAGACTCAGTTTTCCTGTTTGTAAAGTGGAGGTAACAACAGCACCTACCTCATAGTATTGTGTGGATTCAGTTAATTTAATACACAATAATTAACTCACTACAAACTATTTTGCATACCTGGCACATTGTAAGTGCATAATAAGTATTAGTGATGAATCTTAACCATTGGTAATCATTTCCATCTGTCTTGCATGCCAAAATGGTTCTTGTAATAATGGTTGATTCACAATGGCAGCAGTGTTATTTGGCTAGAGAAGGAAGGCAGAGAAGCTGGTAGACTACCAGAGAATTCTTTTGGATCACTTTTTCACCAGTTCTACTTCACAGGCAGTGGGTAACTGCAGACTCTGGGGATAGGGCACCACTAGGCAGATAGATCCAGAAGTCTGGTGCGTGATTGCACACTGTAAGTGGGATAAGTGTGGCAACCAGTGGTTCTTCAACTTTGAATTGCAATCAGATGGTATGATTGTAAGATTCCTGGGATCCTGCTCCACAAATTCTGATTCATTCAGTCAAGAGTGAGTCCCAGGTACCTGCATATTTAACAGCAGCCCACAGATGATTTCTATCATGCTGTAGTAGTCTGTAGCAGGAGTAGGATCTGCATAAAGAGTGGCACATATCTTGTATAGATGTGAAGGTGGCAAGAAGCCCCTAACACAGCCCAAGAAGTACACCAAGGAGATGGATGAAGGAGAAAAGGCTTTCAAGCAGAAGCAAAATGAGGAGCAAAAGAAACTCAAGGAGCTAGATAAGAAAGTTGTTGAGAAGGACCACCTGGTCAGAGGTGGAACTTAAAAATCTGGCAAAAAGTAAATTTTTATTTTTGTTTGACAGAACTCCTTGATTCTACTCCTGTTTAAACATCTTGATTCCTACCATAACATCTTTTGCCACCCATAGCTAGAATGAAGTATTATCTTACAGTTTGTTGTATATTTAGGAATAAACTTTAACGGTGATGATGATGATGACTAAAAACATAGTCTGGTCTACACTTTGAAATCACAGAGATATTTTCCCTTGCTACTATTTCTTCCTTCACTTCAATAGCTACCATGATAGATGCTGGAAGTTGAGAACTATGTAAGTACTATAACATAGTCTAAACAATTTTTGAAAGTCTACTCTGTTCCAAACTGTGTAACAAGTGCCTTGCTTGCTTTACTGAATCTTCCTACCTACCCTATGGAGTAGAGTCTGTCAGTATCACTTTACAGTTGAGGAAATGGAGCATCAATGGGGCTAACTTAGCTGTAGTCACACAGCTAGCTAGGCTAGTTGGTGATAAGGTAGGATTTGACCCCAAGACTGTCGAACTCCAGAGTTCATTTGCTCTTTCTGATATGCTGCATTGTCTCATAAGACAGAGTGCTTGTTCCCAAAGATATCACTGCCTTCTAAGAGTTTTGTGTGATGAAAGTAGAGAGTTTAGATAGGGGAATTCTCAGAAACATATTTAGAGTCACATTTGAATAGTGTGCAGAGCAAAGGTATTGGGAATATTCTATCAACAGTTCAGACACGATAGATTAGAGAAAGGAAGCACTAACATGCTAGAAAACTGAATTGCCCCTTAGATGTTTTGTTTGGCCAATGTGATATATTTAAATTTTTCCATTTGTAATCTTAGGCAGGACATGTGCTCTCTGATTCATCTCAGCTCCTACCATTTCCAGTTCAACAACCTAAATGTCAGACCTCTGAAGGACATTTGAGTTTGCTACTCTTAGCAGGATGGAGACTAGTTGAAGTACTATAACACAAATGCCCAATATCTGTACAAGCATGTGTGGATTTATCAATTTATACAAGACATCCAAACCAAAGCCTTGATGAGATACATATTTCTCCCCTAATGAGTTCCTAAAAAGAGGCAATATTTGCAACAGGTGGATAGGGAAGTAGCACTGTTTATGCTTTGCTGATGGGCCTGGAATAAGGTATACTGATCGAGTATAATATATTAGTCAGCTTTCCCACTGCAGGGACACAATATCCAACACTCACACAACTTAAACGAGAAATTAGCTGAGCATTTCAGAGGACTCAGTACATGTTTGGCAGGCTCCAAGACAGAAACATCATGACAGAAAGGCATGACGGAGCAAAGCTGTATGGGAAGCAGAATAGAGGAACAGCACTGGAGAGGAAGAGACAAGGGACCAGACATAGTACACAGCATCATGGCTCTATGACTCACTCAGACACACATCAAGAAGTGTGTTCTACCAATCTTGTAGCCAATCAAGTTGCCACAGTTAAACTTAACTGTCAAACTATGCCTTATTCAGAATATTTATGGCCTGAAATATTTCAGATCTTGGAGTAACTCACTGTATGTTTGCAAAGACTTTGCTAGCTAGACATTTCTAATCCAAAAATCTGGAATGCTGCATGATAAAAAGCTTTTGAAATAGTATGTCAGTGGTCAAAGATTCAGGTATCTGCTGGGCATGATAATGCATACTTGAAATCTTACCTACTCAGGAGGCTGAGGCAGAAGTATTGCAAGTTTGAGGATAGTATGGGTGACTTAGAAAGATGCTGTCTCAAAAAAAAATGGGATGTAGCTCGGTGCTCTCTGGATTTAACCCGCAGTAGCAGAAAAAGAAGTTTCAGATTTCTGACCATTTCAGATTAAGAGTACAATTTGATTAGGAGGGCAGTTTGATAAAATGTAATAAAAATCTTGGATCCTGTAATTAGACTTTTAGGAATAGATTTTAAGGAAATAGCACAACAATAGCTCAAGGATGGTCAATACATCATTTGTTTTCTAACTGAAAAATTAGAAACCAGCAAATCATCAACAATCTAAAATTAGTTTAAGAAAGATTAAATTTTCAAAGAATTTAATGTTTTAACACAATACTCATGAGAATAAGAAACATTATAAATGTGTAGAATGCTGTAATCCTAATTGTTATACAAGTGCCCTAAAATGTTGAATGAGAGGAAATGAGTGAGTCAGAATGAATCATCATCTATGCAGAGGGATTGTGCCTAATTAATATTTTCTATCTGACATGACATAATTGTCAATGAGATGTATTACTTTTATAATAAAAGAAGCCCTATGCAAGTCATTCACAAAGGGACTCTAATAGTCATCCAGGACTGAGAGGTAATATGGATTTGAATTTAGGTGGTACCAGAGAAGACTGATGTAAGAGACATTATTAAAGGAAACTCATTATGACTTGGTGACTCAGTGTGGGTCATAAAAGGTGGGGAAAGTAAAACATAATTTCAATTTTGCAGGTCTGAGTGATAGAATGAATAATGGCAACATTGACAGCAAAATCACATCAATTATCTTTCTCAGAGATGTGAAAATTGATTTTTTTTTTCAATTTGCTGTCTGGAGGATAACATGTTGTTTTTGCCCCGATGAGTCAGATAATTCTGTAATTTAGTGAGGTGGATATAATGACAAGATGGAGCACTGAAAGCATAAGGTGTTTTTGTTCATAGTGGCTGCAGATCAGTAACACAATCAGTTCTTTAGTGTGGAAAATATAATAAAATTATCAGATATGGGAAAGGGTAAGAAAATAATTTTTCATGTCTGCTTTTAAATAAGCATATAATCCACTTTGTTTATATAGCTGCAGCCCTCACAAATTGAAGTGCATATGCAAGAAGTCTAACCTTTTATTTCTTGAATCATAGAGTTATGAATGAACATACCCCTCAAGATCATCTAATGAGATGAATATTTACACTTTTAATTACTTTCCTTTAGTTGCTAATTTTCAAAACTCTAGATTTTCTTCTAACTTTCTTACTTTAGAGGTAGGAGCTTTTTAGGGATCTCTGAGAAATTTCTGAAAGATTCTACTATAGAGAGGTGACTGCAGAGCTAGGACTCGAACCAGGTAGCCCATTAGTTATCAAGTCCATTTTAAATGTTCTTTTCTTTGGCACTACACCCTCAATAGTGCTTCTTAAAAGA